CAGATGGTGCGGGGCCTGGTCAGCCACTTATCCATCCAACACATGAGCGACATTACATTACTGCTCACACAGAAGGCTCTGAGTCAGGGCTGGGGGTTTGGGGACAGACCAGTCTGACGAGGCCCCTGTTCTGAAGGCACTGACCTAGGGGGAAGAATGCAGGAGAAGTAAGTCAACAAGGAAGCAAGATGATTGCAGACAGGGATCAAATAAGTACCACAGTGAAGGAGTCTGTATTTTATCAAAAGGACTATTTTTAAAAGATCATGGCAGCTCTAGAGAGGGCCACGAGCCCAGGAAGTCAGGAGACAGTTTAGGGGCCATCAAGACAGACAGGCAGCAGATAATGCTGCCTTGGCCTGGGGAGGAGGCAGTGGCAAGAGAGGTAGGCATGCATTAGGGAGATATCTTTGAGCTAGAATCCACAAGATTTAGTGATGAATTGGATGCTGGGGGTGAGAAAGAAGGTAGAAATACTTCTGAGTACTCATCCAAGATAACCTGCCCAGCAAGGGGAAAGAGCAAGCAGCATAACAGAATCTCACCTAAAAGCAGACCTATGCAGGCTTCCATTTACATAAAGTTTAAAACCAGGCCCGGTGGCATAATGGTTAGGTTTGTGCGCTCCGCTTCAGTGGCCCCAGGTTAGCGGGTTCGGATCCTGCGTGCGGACCTATGTACTGCTCATCAGGCCATGCTGTGGCAGCGTCCCACATACAAAATGGAGGAAGATTGCCACAGATGTTACCTGAGGGCCAATCTTCCTCACCAAAAACAAAAAAACAAAAAAAAAACCAACCAGGCAACACTAACCTATGATGATAGAGTCCAGCACAGTGATTAACTTTGGGTGGAGAAGGCATGAGGGCCGCTGGTAATGTGCTGTTTCTCGACCTGGCTGCTGGCTACACGAGTGTGTTCTGAAAATTCATCCAGCTACTCATTTCTTATCTGTGCACTTTTCTGTAATGGTTGCTGTGCTGCAATAAAAAGTTTACTTAAGGGGCCTGCCCGGTGGTGCAGCAGTTCGCACATTCCGCTTCCGTGGCCTGGGGTTCGCCGGTTCAGATCCCGGGTGTGGACATGGCACCGCTTGGCAAGCCATGCTGTGGCAGGCATCCCACATATAAAGTAGAGGAAGATGGGCAGAGATGTTAGCTCAGGGTCAGTCTTCCTCAGCAAAACGAGGAGGATTGGCAGCAGATGTTAGCTCAGGGCTAATCTTCCTCCAAAAAAAAAAAAAAAATTTACTTAAAAACAATGATTCCCAGTTTTTCGTTGCTGCTATTTTTGAGCAACCCTTGGTCAGTAGATGGGGAAACTGAGGAAGGAACAGGTTCATGGGGCCGATAATGATGTGCCTGGAGAAAACAAGTGGAGATGTCCCAGAGGCAGCCGGAGGTCCAAGAGTGGACCTGGAGCATCAGGGCTCGGACAAACCTTGGGAGCCTCTGGAGGGATATAAAGCCAGTGAAATACACAAGGCAACACAATGAGCAAATCACAGAGCATGTGCAGAGGAAGGGGCCCGGAACAGGCCTGGAAGGTTGGCTGCCCTCAGCCTCCTGGATCCGTGTTCTATGGCAATCTTCTGGCCATGCCCACTCAGGGGTCATCGCCACCTTTTCCATCCTCCCATCTCCCGCCCACCCCCCGGCCCTAGCATGGCCTCATATACATGCAGCCAGGGCAGCTTGGAAGCCCCAAGCCTCTGGTTCCTTCTACAGTGGCCTGCCCTTGGCTGCCTCTCTCTGCCCTCTGGATTTTGTCCACTCTCTGGGGTTTCTTAAGGCCTCCAGGGATGGGAGAATCCCTGCCTTTGAAATCCTTCCCATAATGCATGAAAAAAAATTTAATAATTGCACATCATCAAACTGCAGGGCTTGCTCTGTGAAAGACAACATTAAGAGAGTGAAAAGATGAGCTATCATTTGGGAGAAAATGTTTGCAAATGACATACCTGACAAAGGCTTGTATCTCGAATATATAAAGAACCCTCTAAACTCAACAGTAAGAAAACCAACAGTCCGCTTAACAAATAGGCAACAGACTTGGAACCGACACTTCATCGGAGAAGACGCATGGATGGAAAATGCACGTGTCCCAGTACCACCAGCTGGAGGCTTAAAACAACAGGAAGTTATCATCTCTCACGGTGGTGGAGGCCGGAAGTCCAAAGTCAAGGTGTCCGCGGGCCGTGCTCTCTCTGGCCATCCTTGGTGTCCTCGGCTTGCAGCTGCATCACTCCAATCTCTGCCTCGGTTGTCACAGGCTGTCTTCCCTCTGTGTCTAAGTCTTCACCTGCCTTCTCCTTTCTGTGATTCTGTCTCTGTCTCCTCTCTTCTTCTAAGGACACGAGTCTTACTGGATTAGGCCCCACCCTAATCAAGGATGATCTCATCTTAACTTGATTGCATCTGCAAAGACCCTATTTCCAAATAGCACCACATTCACGGGTCACGGCGGGGGGCGGGGGTGGGGGAGTGACTTCAATATCTTTTTGGGGGAAAGAATTCAACCCACACAGAAAATAAGCAGGTGGAAAGATGCTCAATATCATTAGCTATTAGGGAAGGCAAATTAAAGCCACTATGACTATTACAATGACTAAAATAAATACCAACAATACCAAAACAGCCACTCTGAAGAACGGTTTGGCGGTCTCTTATAAAGTTCAACATATATTTACCATAGGACCCCTCCTAGGTATTTCCTCTAGAGAAATAAAAACTCATGTCCCTGTAAAAACCTGTACACAGATGTTCAGAGCAGCTTTACTTGTAACAGCCCATACTGGAAACAACCCATTCTGCACCATGGAATACTACTTGGTAACAAAAAGGAATGAACTGTCGATACATGCAACAACCTGGATGGATCTCAAGGGCATTATGTTGAATGAAAAAGCCAATCTCAGAAGGTCACATACTGTATGATTCCATTTATATAATATTCTTTTTTTTTTTTTACTGAGGAAGATTCACCCTGAGCTAACATCTAAACCAATCTTCTGTGCTAACATTCCTCTATTTTGTATGTGGGTTGCCACCACAGCATGGCTGCTGACGAGTGGTGTAGTTCCACACCTGGGAACCTAACCCGGGCTGCTGAAGCGGAGCGTGCTGAACGTAACCACTAGGCCACAGGGCTGGCCCGATATATAATATTCTTAATGTGACAAAATTACAGAGATGGAGAACAGATTAACGGTTGCCAGAGGCAGGGGTGGGGAGGCAGTTATGACGACCCTAAAGGGATGATGTGAGGTCCTTTGGGGTGATGGAACAGTTCTGTATCCTGACTGAGGTGGTAGATACACCAATCTATGCATACGATAAAAGTTCTAGAACTAGACACACACAAAAATTTAAAAAGCAAGAGCTTGTAAAAACTGATGAAATCTGAATGAGGTCTATAGTTTTGCTGTGCCAGTGTCAATTTCCTGATTCTAACTGTACGATGATTATGTAAGATGTCGCCATTGGGGAAAGCTGGGTGAAGAGGACATGAAAACTTTCCATACTGTTTCAGCAACAGAAACTCGGTGATTCAAAAAGACTCACAGAGGCCAGGAGAGATCCAGAGACCTAAAGAGACCTGGACACTAGGGAAACCAAGAGATTCAGAGATGCACATAGAGACTCAGAGACTGAGAGAGATCCAGAGAGACAGAGAGAGCCAAGAAGACCTAGAGACCCCAAGAGACCCACAAACCCAGAGAGGCCAAAAGATTTGGAGATATCAGAGATCTGCAGACCCAAAGAGATCCAGAGAGACCCACAGACACTGAGGAACACAGAGAGACTAAGAGACTCTGAGACACAGTGATACCAAGAGACCCACAGATACCCAGAAACTCATAGTTTGAGAGACTCAGAGAGACTGAGAGTTCAGAGAGACCCAGAAACCCAGAGAGACAGAGAGACACAGAAAAGGAGGGGCAACCCCCAGGAGTGAAAACACGCTGGCAGCCAGGGTCAGAGCCTGAGGTTGGGAGCAAAGCAGAGATGGGTGCTGGATGTCCAACCAGTGAAGAGCAGTTGTGTCACAGGAAGGAGCCTGCATCTGGGGTCTGGGGACCTGGGCTCCAGACCTGGCTCTGTGCTCACGCCTCACCTGGCCCAGCCCACATTTTGTTCATCTTTCACTCAAATATCAGGAGGTGGGGTCCTTGAGCCTCAGTTTCCCATCTGAAAAATGGCCAGGAGAACCACGAAACCTACGTCACAGGGCCAAATGCACATTGTGTTGGTCATACCACTTTGAGCCCACTTCTGTTGTCATCAGCGGTGGGACTTTGAGTATAAGTGATTCAACTTCTTTCTGGGCCTCCATTTCTCTTAAATACGTATTTAAAAAGTCTCCTGGACTACCTCACACTCATTAGGATGGCTACTATCAACAAAACAGAAAATAACAAGTGTTGGCAAGAATGTGGAGAAATCAGAACTCTTGTGCACAGTTTGTGGGGATGTAAAATGGTGCAACCGCTGTGGAAAACGGCTTGACATTTCCTCAAAAAATTAAAAATAGAATTACCCTATGATCTAGCAATTCCACTTCTGAGTATATACCCCAAAGAATTGAAAGCAGAGTCTCGAGATATTTGTAACCCACGTTCATAGCGTTATTCAAAATAGCCAAGATATGGAAACAACTTAAGTGTCCATCAATGGAGGAATGGATAAGCAAAATGTGATATATACATAGAATGTATGCTACATACATAGAATGTACATAGAACGTATAGCCTTAAAAAGGAGGGCAATCCTGACATATGCTACAGCATGGACGAAGCTTAGGGATATTATGCTAAGTGAAATAAGCCAGTCACAAAAAGACAAATACTGTACAATTCCACTTATATGAGGTACCTAGAGGAGTTGAATTTGTAGAGATAGAAAGTAGAAGGGTGGTTGCCAGGGGCTGGGGGAGGGGAGGGGGGAGTTAGTGTTTAATGGCTATAGAGGTGAAGTTTTGCAAGATGAAGAGTTCTGGAGATGGATGGTGGTGATGGCTGCACAACAATATGAATTAAGGTAGTAAATTTTATGTTATGTGTATTTTACCACAATAAAAAAATATTAAGGAAAAAAGTCACCTGTCAAATGTGGAAAGTCGTGCAGGTGCTGACTGTCCCATAGGATTTGTGGAGAGAGTAAATGAGCCAGTGAAGACCAAAAGACTGATGGTCTGCTGGGTCGGTGGGGGAAGCTTGGTGATCCTGGGCAAAGACACCCACCTTGGAGCCACTGGCCCGGCTCTCCCTAACCCAAAGGATCTTGGGAAGCGGATGTGGCCTCTGGGAATTCTCGCGCCAGGACAATCTCCTCTCTGGCTCTCAGGTTTGGGGATTCCTAGATCTGAAACAAACACGGACACATCCAGCGACCCTGCCCAAGCAAGGCATAACCAGGGAATTATAACTTACCCATCAGCCACCCGCCGCAGCCCAGGCCTCATTTCCAGGCTACGTATCTGTAAAGAGGCGGGCAGGGCGCCCTCCCACCTTTCAGGCCCTGGGGTCCAGCTGGCCTGCCTTCACCCCTCTTGTAGGTGAGAAAGCTCCGGAGAAGCTTTTACCTTGGGGAGCCGCAGCTGGGACGCGAGCGGTGGAGACTGGGCTTACTGAGAGTAGAAGTGGGCGGTGATGGCGAAAAGCTCCACCCCCTCCCCAGGAAGGGATCTGATTGGTGGAGGGCCATGGGGCGGGGCAGCGCGGGAGCTATATAAAGGCTCTCACTCTGGGCTTCCTTCATGCTGTGGGTAATCCATGAGCTCAGGTAAGGCTTCTCGGGGGAGGAGGCTGGGCTGCTTTACGAGGCCCCCAGGTTGGCCACGGGGTGGTGGACGGCAGCTTCTCCTGAGCCCCTTAGTTGGCGTCTCTCTCTCCTTGGCTTGAAATGTCTGAGGTGGCCCCACCTCACCTTTTTCTAAACCCAAGTATTTGTCTAATATCATTCCTTTCTGTGGGCCTCAGTTTCCCCTCCGTGAAGTAAGAGGTTGGTGGTCCTTTCATGGCTCCCGCTTTGGTGCAGGTTGAGGGGGTGGTTGTGAGTTGGGGGACAGAGGAGCAATTAAACTTCAGCTTTGGGGGTCAGACAGGCTCCACCTTCAAGTCGCGGTAAGACCTCCGTGCTTGAGTTTGCAAAATGGGTCTTAAGTTATACCCACCTCCCGGGATGAGAGAAGATATGCCCTTAAAGCATTTAGCGCAGCTCCAGGCCCTTAGGAAGCGCTCAGTGGTGTCAGTTGCTGCTATTCTTACTTTCTGGCCTTGCCTGCGGTGCCAGGAGGAGGGTGGGGGTGCTGCAGCCTCCAAAAACTCTCCCTCCTTTCTGGCCTCCCCACCCCACACGAATCCGAGTTTCCTTCTGTTCCCAGCCCCCACGTCTCCACACCCATCCCTCCACCTTCAGGAAGTCCTCTATTAGGCCAGCCCTACAAATCCCCTTGACTTGTTGGGGGCAAGGGGGTAGGTGCTGAGTCTTGGGGCTCCTGCCTTTACAGGTCACCTTGCCCCACCCCACCCCTCCCACCCCTACCCCCTATGAGATGAGTGACACCCAAGACCCTGCCGCTGTCCCTGCCATTGCCACCCAGGTGAAGCTGGGGGGCTGGAGCCGTCAAGGCGTGGGCAGTGGGTCTCTCCGTTCCCGCCAGCACCAGGAGCTCCAGGCCTTCCTCAGCCTTCTGGGTGAGTCCACTAGGGGGCTGGGACGGGCGGGGCTGTGGGGACCAAGCATGAAACAGATGTGAAACATGCACTGTGCAAGCGTCTGAGTCTCGGTCTCTTCCCTTCTCAGGTGACCCCGGTTTGGCAGAAGGGGTGTGGGTCGTGTCAGAAAGCGAGTTCAGTGGCCGCTTGGCCTTTGGAACTTCGTCTTGGGGAGGGTGGGTGGTAACCCCAGTCCACCGTTTCTCCTCTTTACCCCAGAGCACAGTTTCCTCCAGGAATTCCTCTCCAAAGATCCCTGTTTCCAGATTTCGGATAAGGTGAGGGGGCACAGTGGCGGTAGAGGCCGGGAGTCACTTGGGGAAGGCTGAATTAGTGGGGTTGGAGGGCTGCTAATTCACTGGGTCCCCTGGTCTGGTGGAGGGAGCGCCTCCCTTTTAAACTCTCATCTTTCGGGCCCTCCCCACCATTTTACTCCCCCTCCCCACCCCCACCCCGAACTTCCTTGGGTGCACAGGGGCTGTGCAGCCCCTCCCCCAGTGTCTCACTCACGCCCCCCCCCCCCCACCCCGTTCTGTCTTCACAGTACCTCCTGGCCATGGTGCTGGTCTACTTCCAGCGCGCCAACCTGAAGCTCAGCGAGTATACCCGCAGCAACCTGTTCTTGGCGCTGTGAGTGGCCCCGGCGGGTGGTGGAGACCCTTGCTGGGAGCCAGAGGATGGGGCAGGGCAGATGCTTAAGGCCCCTGCTCCCTGCCCCCGCCTCTGCGGCCAGGTACCTTGCAAATGACATGGAGGAGGACCTGGAGGACTCCAAATGTGTGATTTTCCCGTGGGCCCTGGGCAAAGATTGGCGGCGGCGTGTGTCAGGCTTCCTGCACCAGAGGGACAAGCTGTGGGCACGGATGGGCTTCCGGGCAGTCGTGAGCCGCCAGCGCTGTGAGGAGGTGAGGACCAGCATCCTGGGGTGGCAGAAGGAGGCTGGACCTCCCACCCCCGTTTACCATCCACTCTACTCATGCCAGGTCATGGCCAAGGAGCCGTCCCACTGGGCCTGGACTCGGGAGCGGCGACCCCACCACGGCAGGGCTCAGAGGAGCCGTCCAAAGGCCCGGGTTCCTCTCCCCCGAGGCCCCGGCCTCTCACCACCCCACTGTTCCCTCTGTGGCTTGCCCCCTCGCCGCAGCCACTGCTGCCGCCACCCCCGCCCCTTGCCCATCTTATCCAAGTGCCCTTCCCCGGACCCTGAGTGGCATCACCCTCCCTCCCAAGCCTGTCTCTCGGTGCCTGAAGACCCCTGGGGTGGGAGCTTCCTCATCGTCCTGCCCCCTGAGCTGCAACTGGAGCCAGGCACCTACACCCTCCAGAGTGAGTTGGGGACAGGAGCTGGGGGTGGGCTTGGGATCCCAGGAGGCAGGTGTGGGGCCCAACAGAATGGGAATGAGGGGCGTGGGCTTTTGGGTCCAGCTGGCCTGGGCACCGCCCCAGCTCTGCCACCTCCTAGCTGTGTGAGCTTGACAAGTTTCCTCTCTGCACCTCTCTCTCTCCTTCTCCCCCAGTTTTCCCAAAGCTTCCACAGTGCCCTGGGCGCTGGCACTGGCTCGCAGGGTGAAGAGCAGCCTGCTGGCTTGCCCACTGGCCCATGGCGCTACTGGCTGTGGCCCCCCTGGCCTCCTGTCCTACGGGCCTCAGGCTGGCAGTGCTGCCCATGTCCTCTGCCCCCTACTCCCAACCTGTAACTTGTCCCCACTCGGACCAGGGCCCCCTCTAATAAACTCCTGTCCGCAGGACACCAGCTGTGCTTAGGCTCTAGCCTGGTTCCTTGACCCAGGGTGAGGGTGGGAAGGGAGTTCAGGGGAGGGGGGGGTCTGCCAGGCTTAGGTACCAGTGGTTGAGACCCGTGAGCACAGGCTCCAGCAGCTCCTCCCCTTCCCATGGGTGGCAGTCATCCTGAGCCTCAGTTTCCCCTCTATAACATCACCTCTGGATGATGAGATCTACAGTGTAGACGGGATTGAGTGGGATGAGCTGTGTACAGCCCTTAGGAGAGGGCCTGGAACCTTGTAGACAAAAAAGCTGAAATGGAAACACCTCTATAGTCATTCTAGAAATGCCTGCAGGGCCAGGCCTGTTCAGAAATAAGAAACAGTCCTTGCCCTGGGCCGCAATCAAACATAATATAATTATTATACTACAGCCCCTCCCCCCCAAAAGTAAATTTGTTAATGAGAGAGCAGGGAAGGCTTTCCAGAGGGTGGCATTGGAACTGGATGATATCAGGTTTGCCCATGGGGGGCGAGGGGGCGGTTGTGGGGAAGGATACTCCTGGAAAGACAGTCTAGACTAGAGTAGTGACTAAGATTGTAGTCTCGGATGCCAGACAGCTTAAGTTCAAATTCCAGGTTCCTGTGCGACCTTGGCATGTAATTTCATCTCCTCCATTGCCTCATCTGTAAAATGGGCATTCTACTAAAATGGGTGTTGGGAGGTTTGAATGAGCTAATCCCTGGAAGGGTTTAGAACAGTGTCTCAGGAACAGAGCTCAGGGAGCTAGGGCGTTACCGGCAGAGGGAACTGCTTCCCAGAGGGCAGGGGGTGTGGAGAGAGGTGGAAGGAAGGTGGAGGAGGTTGGGCAAGTCCACAAGGGTCCGTTGGCAGAATCCCCTGCGTGCTCTATCCGTGGCTCCCGAGGAGCGAGGTGGTAAGAAAGCCTGGAGATCGCGGACCTTAGAAGCCAAGACAACGACTATGAAGTATTTTTAATTTGTTTTTCAAATAGCTAGTATGTTCACATGTACATTTTGAATTTTGAACCAAGAGTCATCTCCTGCCCCTGACTCCAGCCACCTGGTTCCCCTCCCTGGAAGCAATGACAGTAACAGTTTATGTCCTTCCAGAGAAAGAATCTAAACATCCATAACCAAATGTGGTGTAATAAAACAGATATAGATTTGGTCTTTGTCCCTGGTTCCTGGCACAGAGCTCCTAAAACCCTTGGAGTCTCCTGAGTGACAGGGGTGTCTTTTGTTATTTATAATGAGCCCCTTTCAACCACAGCTGAGTTTATGCTAATGAGGTGACTCAAGTAGGGCACCTACAGGGCTTCAGGGTGGGGGCTGGTCCCCACAAAGACCAATCTAGAGGGGGGGAACTTTCAGCTCCCCCACCACCTCCAGGGAGGGGAGGGGGTCCCGGCTGGAGATCTAGAGAGTTTCTGGGTTGGTGAACAGAGATGTGCTGGGAGGGTGGCTCCCTGGAGAGGGCAAGGATGCTCTGCGCTCCTCCCCCCATGCCTTGCCCTGTGCACCTCTTCTATTTGGCTGCTCCTAAATTGCATCCTGTATCCTAAACTGGAATAGTAAATAAAGCACTTTCCTGAGTTCTGTGAGTCTTCTAGCAAATTATAAACCTGAGGATGGGGTCGTGAGCACCCCCAAATTTGTAGTTGGCCAGACAGGAGTGTGGGTCTGCTGGGCATCCCATTTGTGCTGGTGGTATCTCGTGGGACTGAGCCGTTAACCTAGGAGTCTGCACTAACTCTGGGAATTAGCATCAGAATTGAAGGGAATTGTAGGCACCTAGTTGGTGTTGAGAGTTGGAGAATTGGTGTGGAAAAAACACATGTATTTGGTATCTGGAAAAAAACACAGTGGGTGTGAGAAGTGGTGTTAGAACAAAGACCACACCAGATAAGCATATATGTCCCACCCCCTTTTTTGAAAACTCAAATGTATCCTGTTGTGCATTTAACATATTTTGAAGATGGGTCCTTATCCATACATTCCTTTTGACAGCTGGATAGTATTCCTCTTTAAGGATGCAAGGTAACTTGTTCCTTATTGACGCCATTCGTTTCCCGAATTGTGCTATTCCACTCAGTGCCACAGAGTGTCACTAAGACCTTTAAGGAAATCCTTATGCAAACATGAAAAGATATCTGTAGAATGAATTCCTAGATGCATTGCTCAGCCAAAAGCCGAGTCAGAATTGTCATTTCGATGATCTTCACCAAATGTCCCTCTCTAGAGGCGATGCCCATGTTGCACGCCCCCACCTCTAGCAGTGCATGTAAACGTGGTTTTCCAGAACACTCAGCAATCAGTGAGGTACCGGATTTTTTACCTTTGCCAAACTGATAAATGGAAAATAGTCTCTTGCTGAAGTTTTAATTTGCTTTTCTTTTGAGTGAGCTTAAGCATTATTCCATGTTTAAGAGCTGTTTGTCTTCTCTGAACTGTCCTTGTCTTTGCCTGTTTCTCCACTGTTTTTGGTTTCTGATTGACAAACAAGGGTTTGAAGGGAAAATAGCCCTTCAAGATGTAAATTGTATTTTGTTCAGTTTATCATTTTGACTTTGATGGACAGATTACAGATTTTTTTATTGAGGTCATAATAGTTTATAACATTGTGAAATTTCAGTTGTACATTATTATTTGTCAGTCACCATATAAATGTGCCCCTTTACCCCTTATGCCCACCTCCCAACCCCCTTCCCCTCTGATAACCACTAAACTGTTCTCTTTGCTGGAAAGATTTTTTAATGTAGTAAAATAAATTTTTTATGGCTTCTGGGTTTTGTGTCATAGTTAAAAAGACCTTTTCCACACTGAGATGACTGAAAAACTCCTTTAGCTCCTGGCTGTGTTTTTGCTTCCTTTTTCTTTTGTGTGTGTGTATATAAGAAAGAATGCCGTGAGCTAACATCTGCCGCCAATCCTCCTCTTTTTGCTGGGGAAGACTGGCCCTGAGCTAACATCTGTGCCCATCTTCCTCTACTTTATCTGTGGGACACTGCCACAGCATGGCTTGATGAGCAGTGAGTAGGTCCACGCCCCAGATTGGAACCTGTAAACCCCAGATCGCTGAAGCTGAGCATGGAAACTTAACCACTGTGCCACCAGGCTGGCCTCTGTTTTCATTTTTTACATTTAAATCTTCAATTCGTCTGGAATTTATCATATACAAAATCCCCTCCCGTTTTCCTAATGCTTTTTATTGAAAAACTCATCTTTTCTCAACAAATTTGAAACACTACTTTTATTATATCCTAAATTCCTGTCTGCATTTGGACCTATTTCTAGATTTTTCTATCTTCCAATGATCTATGTGTGTCAGTACCTCTTTCTAACTACTGCATTTAATTATTATAGATTTGTCTTTGCTACCTCTCCGCAGCATCTTCCATCCCCCAGGCGCCTGCTCCCTGTGACCCAGTCACTTGGCAGTTCCCCTCATTGGCTGTTCCCTCAGCCTCTGGACCTTTGCACATGTTGTTCCTCCTCCTAGAACACTCTCCGGCACCTCATTGCCTAGTTAACTCGTACTTCCTTAATCCCCAAAACTGAACCAGGAGAGCCCCCCCACCCCCACCGCCTGCAGGGGCCGGTCTGCCTTAGTCATGGGTCTCTGCTGTGCAAAGACCTGCCAGAAGGGTTTAAGTCAAGATTGGACACATAAATGCTGAATGGAGAAGAGCAAAGAGGCCAGGAGCTGGCCAGGTGAGGGAGCTCAGCAAGTCATCTGTTTTCCTCATCTCTTAACTGGGGAGTGAGAATGGGCTCAGATGAGATCAGCGGCTCTTACCCTTCTTGGGGTCACGGGCCCTAAAATCCTAGGAGAGCTTTGCACTGTTTCCTCAACGAAATGCTCGTGAATACATCCTTTAAGGGCTGCAGCAGCTGCTGGCCGAGGCCCCGAGGTCGGTGAGAAGACCCGAGCAGGGCGCCCGCCGCAGTCCCCCTCGCCCCGACTTCTTGGCTCTCCAGCTCCTAAGCTCCTAGCAGTTCCAGAGGCAGGATCTCTGGGTCCTGGGGGGTCCTGCCGCCCCCTCCTGGGTAAGGCGGCACAGGGCGCTCCCAATCGGCTTGGGGAGAGGGCAGGGATGCCCACCTCTTGCAGTTTCCCGGTTCAAGAAACCCCAGGGCGCGAGAGAAAGACGGGCTCCCACCGTCGCTCAGCTCCGTCCCATAAACCAGGGCCGAGAGGGGCAGGGACTCATCCAAGGTCGCGCAGCCCGCCTCGGCCTGGGGGCCGGTTCCCCGCGCCCCGCCCGGGCTCACGGAGCCGCTAAGGCGGGGTGGCGGCGCCCCGAGCCTGCGCCCCAGGGCGCGGGGGTGGGGACCGGCCCTGCCCAGGAGCCGGGCTGCGGCGCGGACCCGGCGGGGGGGGCTGCCGGGTGCCGAGCGACCGGCAGAGATCCGCTCGCCGCCAGCCCGGCCCCTCCTCCAAGCAGCTGCCGCAGCCCGAGGTAATCTCGGCCCCGCGCTGGGGACACCGAGGGGTGGGGACAGCTGCGGGCCCGCGGAGGAAGGCCGGGGCTGGGCCGGGGGCTGGGGGGGGGGGGGGGGGGGGGGGGGGGGGGGGGGGGGGGGGGGGGGCGACGCCGCTGCTGCCCGATCTCCCGGGAATGCCCCCCGGGGTTGCCGCCTGGGGTGGGGCCGCTCGGCCTTGCAACTCGAGCTGCTGCCCCTGGTTAAAAATACCCCTGCCCTCCCCCACCCCTCCCCCGCCGTGCCCTTCCGTCGGGCCCCAGCCCTCCCACCCCGACAGGCTCTGGCCCCTCCCCGGGGACAACTCTGCCTTTTGCTAATTTGTCCTCTCTGGGAGCTGGCCGCGGGCCTGCGGAGGGAGGGGCCGGGAGACACCGAGACTAAGAGATAGTCAGAGAAGGTGCCCGAGAGGTGAAGGAGAGACGAGAGGAACCGGGGTAGGACCCCGAGGAGGAGGAGAAGGAGCAGGAGGACGACGAGGAGGAGGGAGGGGGGAGGAGGGAAGGGGGAGGAGAGCGGAGGGGCCGCCCGAGGAGGGCGGGGAGGAGCGCTCTTCCTGGTTGGGCCCTGCCCTGAGCTGCCACCAGGGAAGCGAGTCGCAGGGACCGCAGCGACCCTCCCAGACACTCCTCCCCCAGGTAAGGAGCTGGGTGGCTAGGCCAGGATTCCCCGACCGCGGCCACTAGTCTGGGGCTGAGGGGCTGCCCCTTCCCCCTGTCTTTTGAGTGCCTGGGACAGGGCCAGGGGCCAGGGGCTCGAAAGCCGCAGAGCCCAGCGCCCGCTTGAGCCTGCGCTCAGCACTGTCTCAGGGGCTGGGCTGGGGGAAGGCTGGAGGGGAAGGATCTGAGGCCCAGCGACCCTGATCACCCGTCTCTGGAAGCCTGGGGAGGGGTCTGACTGCCTGGAGTTCTCAGCCTCCAAGCCAGGGAAAAGGGCCAGTGCGGAGGAGCTTGGCTAGATGGGGGAGGGGGTTACAGGCAGCAGGCAAAAAAGGTCAGAGGCCTTCCCTGGGGTCTGTACCTTCCCGGTTCCCTGTGTTACCATCTCGGGGCTCCGCCCTGCCCCACCTGCAGGCTGGCTGACCACAGGACTGCAGGCACAGAACAATGGGAATCTGGGAAGGGAGAGATGGTGGCCAGCGCATCTGGGGGCTGGGGAACCCCTCTCCTGGATTCTGGGAGCCTGAGGGGGGGGGGGGGGGGTGTAGCAGAGAGTCCTGAGTTCTGTGAGGCGAGCAGTGAGGTAGAGAAAGCCCAGGTTTGGGGAGGAAGTGAGGGCAGGGACTGGCAGAAGCCCCAGTTCTAGTCCTGGGAAGGCCTGCGTTCTGAGCAGGCACGTCTGTCCCGCAGGATGGCTGAGGAGATCATCACCCCAATATACTGCACCGGGGTGTCTGCACAAGTGCAGAAGCACCGGGCCAAGGAGCTGGGCCTGGGCCGCCATGAAAACGCCATCAAGTACTTGGGCCAGAATTATGACCAGCTGCAGGCTCAGTGCCTGCAGAGTGGGGTCCTCTTTCGTGATGAGGCCTTCCCCCCAGTGCCCCAAAGCTTGGGCTTTAAGGAACTGGGCCCCAACTCCTCCAAAACCTATGGCATCAAGTGGAAGCGTCCCACGGTGAGAGGGGCCACCCTGGGTGGACTCAGTTTACCCCTGATCCTGGGTGAGGAGTGTGTGCAAGACTCCAGGTCCTAGTGGGGAGTGGGGTCCAGGGAGGCTGGGTTTCAGTTTCTGGGAAGGGCTGGCCCAGAGACAGGACTCCGGGTCTCTTGCAGGAGCTGTTCTCAAACCCCCAGTTCATCGTGGATGGAGCTACCCGCACAGACATCTGCCAGGGAGCCCTGGGTAGGCCCTGGGGGCTTCTGGATGTTTCTTCTGTGGTAGTTCCTCATGCCCATTCCTTCCTGCTCTGCCCCAACCCCTCCCTCCTGCAAGCCCAGACAGGCTCTGGCTATCAGTGCTGGGGCTGGTTTGCCCAGATTCCTGGTTTTTTTCTGTAAATTGAGGGGAACCTCGGGTTCTCCCCAGCATGGGCATTCATGTGCACCACTGGGAGCAGATTCGTAGAGCAGGCTTGACGTGGGTCCCTCCCATCCCAGGGGACTGTTGGCTGCTGGCTGCCATCGCCTGCCTCACCCTCAACGACACCCTCCTGCACCGAGTGGTTCCTCATGGCCAAAGCTTCCAGAATGGCTATGCTGGCATCTTCCATTTCCAGGTGAGGAGCCCCGCACCCACCTGGCACCAGGGGGTGGGGGACATAGGGGTAACAGGCACGGGAGGAGGTGAGGACTGAGGACGCACCGCAGTCTGAAGTGAGGGTGGCCCAGGGCCACACCCTGCGGGGGCCACCCTCCTGTAAAGTATCTGACCTCTCGGTGCCTTCTCCGATCTGTCATGTGTGAAACGGTTGGGCAGGTATTTCTCCACTGGCAGATTTCCTGGGTCATTGTGCAGGTGGACGAGAAAGCGCTTGGAAGCGTAGAAAGATCTCTGTGTTATATCCTGTGGGACAGATCCTTTTGCTCCCCAGGGTCTCAGTTTCCCCCACCTGAAAAAGAAGGAGTGTTCCACCGGGGAAAAGAGACCAGCCCATGTGGCCATCTCCACCCTTGGCAGCAGTCTCCCCACCCACCTGCCCCCAGCTCCTCCTGCACTTTGGCATCCTCCAGCCTCTGACAGACCCCTGCAGAAAAGACAGACTGGGGATCAAATCTATTTAAATAAGACTTTCCTGACCTTATTTGCGCACAGGGCCCATTTTTCAAGTCACACTAATGAATTCTCAATGAGCTGGTGCTGGGAGAGCCACACCCCAGCAACCCTGGATTACACCCTCTGGCCCCAGTGGCCCCAGCCCTGCCCCCGGGACTCCCGGGTGTCCTCTCCTTTCGCCTAGTCAGGGAGCCCTTTACCCCACTCCATCCTCAACCGCCTTGGGGCGTAGGAGACGGCCCACAGGACCACTGTGCGGCCAAAGGCCGAGTGCCCCACCTGCCCACGCTAGTCCGCAGGGGCGGGGTCTCTCCGCCCTTTCCCCGCCCACTTCTGGCACTCCTCCAATCCGATCATCCCCAGCCTCTGATTGGCCCTTTCAACACTTCCCCTCGCAACCCGCGCTACTTGGGCCCACCTCCTCCCCTTGTTCTGGTCCCATAGTTCTGCACCGTCGGCGCCCCGGTATCACTTTTTCGCTTCTGGTCTCAGGCGCCTGACGACTCCCGCCCTGGGCAATCTGCCCATCACAGCATGTCTGAAGCAAACCCCATGATCGCAGGAGCCCCGCCCATCTTGTGGTTTTTGTTCCACATCTAATTTACATATGTATCCACCCCACCCCTTCCATACACGCACCCTGGCCTAGAATGGGGAGAGAACTGAGGGGCATGGCCTAAAAGGGGGCATTTTCCAGAAGAGCCAAGGCCCGAGGGCTTTCAACTTCTCCATACCTGGGGAGGCTTCTTCGTCTGTTTCAAAAATATCAATAGTGCTGCCCTATAAGCTTTGCCTTTGTGATCTTGTTTAGTTTAATGGTGAGGAAGGCACTGCTGTTCCCTTTTATGAAATTGAGGCTTGGAAAGGATGACTTGCTCAGGGTTCTGTATCTAGGATACATGATCTAGGATCAGGTATCTAGTAAGTGGCAGAGCTGAGACCTGAACTCAGGCCTGAAGGATCCCGAAGCCGGTACTCACTGTGATCCCCCTCTCCCCAGCTGTGGCAGTTTGGGGAGTGGGTGGACGTGGTCGTGGATGACCTGCTGCCCACCAAGGACGGGAAGCTGGTGTTCGTGCACTCTGCCCAAGGCAACGAGTTCTGGAGCGCCCTGCTCGAGAAGGCCTATGCCAAGTGAGTAGGGGCCCAGGTGACAGCTCCAGGCCACCCTGGGTGCGGGGTCCTGCTTGGTGCCAGAGTGCTGACCTGGGGCCATCCACAGGGTGAACGGCAGCTATGAGGCCCTCTCGGGGGGCAGCACCTCAGAGGGCTTTGAGGACTTTACAGGCGGGGTCACCGAGTGGTACGAGCTGCGCAAGGCGCCCAGCGACCTCTACCACATCATCCTCAAGGCGCTGGAACGAGGCTCCCTGCTGGGCTGCTCCATTGACGTGAGTGCGCCCAGCCCTCACTCTTTTGCCCTGACCTTTACACCCTGACCCATGACCCGAGTCTCCTCTTCCAGCAGTTCCCTCTCCCAACCCAGGCCAGCCTCATCTTCATCCCAGGCTTGGCTCCAGACCCCATCCTTCGCCTCACATCATCTCTGGATCTTCACCCAGCCTTATCCATCACTTCAGTCCCACCCTTCACCTCCATGCCTGCTGTCATTCCTGTCATCTAACACCATGCCCATCCGCTGTCCAGTTCACCAGCCTCAGACCTCAGCTCTTCCCTGGTCCCAGATCCTATGGGCCCCAGCCTTGCTCTGTACTCAGTCCATTCACTTTTTCTGCTCTTCTGTTCCCACCACTCATCCCTGACCCCCTCATCCTTGATCTCAGCCTCCACCCCTAACAGCACTGCATCCTCAGCTCTAACCTTGTCCCCACCCTCTTCCCCAGTCCTAGCTGACATCAGCCTGTCCTCACCCCTCTTCTCCACCTCCTGTGTCCTTCTACATGAGGCCCTCTGAGGGCCTGTGGCTCCCTGGGGGGCTATGCATGGCGGTGTGTGTGTGCCACATGCATGTTCACTCAGGGTGTGGCCAGCTCTGGCCAGAGCAGTGTCAGTGGGGTGTCCAGGCCCTCCTACCAGTGGTAGCATTAGTGGAGTACCCGGGGGGCCCCCTTTCTAGGGGCGGTGTCGATGTATGGGGGTGATAGACTAGATTGGATCAGGGTCCCTGCCTGCCACTCCCAATAGCTGTTGTGTACACATAGGAGAATGTTCAAGCCCCGTGAATACTCGGAGCTTGTCTCCTGACCGACGGTAGGGACGCTGACTGGGCCCCTGACCACAGTGCATGTGTCTTTCTGCAGATCTCCAGTGTTCTGGACATGGAGGCCGTCACCTTCAAGAAGCTGGTGAAGGGCCATGCCTACTCTGTGACTGGGGCCAAGCAGGTACAGCCCCATGGGGTGGGGGTGGGGGGTGGGGGCAGGCGGCGGCCCCTCCCTGCAGGGTGGTTCCTGCCTCCTTGCCTCTGCCTGTGCCCAGGGCTGTGGGAGGGGCTGGTTCTTCCTTGCCCTCCTGTAGCACCTTATCTGTATCCTGGGGACTCTTGTCCTCAGATGTTTATCTTATCTGGGCCTGATTTACTGCAGTTTGTGTGTGTAGTAAATTCCTGGAGGCCAGGCTGTATTTCCCGTGGTGTGGTGTTGGGTGCCAGCAGGGCTGGCGAGGGTGGGGTGGTGGGGAGGGGTGTTAAAGAGCATGCCAGAGCAGGCGCTGATGGGATCTCTGGGGAACAGGTTAACTACCAGGGCCAGATGGTGAGCCTGATCCGGATGCGGAACCCCTGGGGCGAGGTGGAGTGGACAGGAGCCTGGAGTGATGGGTGAGGGGACACTGGCTGGGGAGGCTTGACTGGCGTTTCTGCTTGGGGCTCTGCCAGCCCAGGGTGGGCTCAGGATTGAGCAGAGGGGCCCATCTTCATGTTACTGGGTCAGGCAACTGCCCTGACTAAGCACGGGCTGTGCAGGCCCTGCACCCAGCCTGTGAGCATCCTCAGGGCATCAGACAGGCCCTGACAAGGCAACCCCTGGAACTGGGATGTTGGGGCTTAACCTCGAGGAGCCTTCCTGACCTAGGCTAGGGGAGGACAGGCCCCAGGGACAGAGGTCAGGCTGGTCAATGTCCACGAGCCCCTGGCAGTGCCCTTCTCTCCACAGCTCCTCGGAGTGGAACAACGTGGACCCTTACGAACGGGAGCAGCTCCGGGTCAAGATGGAGGACGGAGAGTTCTGGTGAGCAACCGCCTTCTCGCCCTGGCCCCTCTCCAGGCCTTGCACCCCAGCTCCCAATCCCCACAAACCCAGCGCGAGCCGCATCCCTCAGTGCCCTGGCTCATCCCGGCACCTCGCCCCCTAGGATGTCATTCCGAGACTTCATGCGTGAGTTCACCCGCCTGGAGATCTGCAACCTGACGCCTGACGCGCTCCAGAGCCGGAAGTTCCGCAAATGGAACACCACGCTCTACGAGGGCACCTGGCGGCGGGGGAGCACGGCGGGGGGCTGCCGGAACTACCCAGGTGACTCGAGCGCGGGGACGCGCAGGGGCGCAGAGGCGGGGTCTGGGCTGTGCTGCCTCCTGGCTCGGGGGGCCTCAGGCAAGGTGCTTCTTCTCACTGAGCCTCAGTTTCCTCACTCGTAAATAGAGATAGTTGTGCTGCCCTCTCGAATTGGCTTTAAGGCATAAAGTATTGAATGTCCTTGAAAGGAGGCCATTTGAAAGAGCCTCCTTGACACACCATCCTGGGGCCTGAGCCCAGGATGCTAACTAGGGGAGAAGGCTTTGTTGACATCAACCACCTTCCTGTCACTCTTCATGCGGAGACCTTCCTCCTGGCCCACTGTCTTCCTCCGTGATCCTTCTGTCACCTTTCCCAGGGCTTCTGGATCCATGTGGATGACTCGGTCCACAGCCTGGCCTCTCAGTTCCTTGCCAGCCTCACCTGCAGCAAACTTTCCCTTCCCCTTCGTTCTGCTGCCACCCTGAGGACACACGGGAACCTGTTCCCAACATCCCACTCTGACCTCCGCCCTTGTCCTTCCTGTGCAGTCATCGGCCTGTTGAACTAACTGTTGAACCCACAACTGCACCATCCTTCACCTCCCTGTTGTCGTCTCTCCTTACCTGGTTTCGTCTTGTCCCTGCAAACACTCTCAGCTGGCACAGCCCCAATCCTAGTTGAACCCTCTCCATTGGCTCCGGATCCACGGAATGTGGCTGGAGAGAAAGCACACAACCGGGGCAGTGTTTCCTCTGTAAATGCACAGCCACAAACCTCAAGTGACCGCTCTGCGTGGCCCCCAGCAATTCCACTGCTAGTTACTAACGCCCGCACTCTCTTCTCAAACCTCCCTTTGCTGTCACTGTCATCTGCGGACCTGGCCTTGCTCTTCCTTGAAAGATAGACCTCATCAGGCAGGGCACCCCCTCATATGCCCACCTCCAAATCCCCCAGCCTGTCTGGACCTGTGCCCTTCTTTACTGCGTCCCCGCCCGTGACAGTGGCAGAAGTGTCCCTGCTCGTGGGGACCCCCACCTCTGCTCTGGATCCCATTCTCCCTCACCTCCCATTCTTCCTCACCTCCTGTGTCCCGATGGAGAATTGCCTCTCTTAAAGCGGCCCTCTCTTGACACCACTTCCCCACCCATTTCTCTGCCTCTCTTCAAAGCAAAATTTATCAGGAATTGCCACACTCCCTGTTTCCTTTCTCACTTCCTGCTCAATGTTTAACCCCCTCCAGTCCAGCTTCCATCCTCACCACGCTGCTGGGAATATGTTAAGGTTTATTAAAGAAAACAAGGCCCCAAAAGCAGCTTGGGAAATAATTTAACAATAGTTGTGATTGAAAGATTGGCACCTGAGCTAACAACTGTTGCCAATCTTTTTTTTTTCCCCGTGCTTCCTCTCCCCAAATCCCCCCAGTGCGTGGTTGTATATATTTTAATTGTATATATTTTAGTTGTGGCATGTGGGACGCCGCCTCAGCATGGCCTGATGAGCGGTGCCGTGTCCGCGCCTAGGATCTGAAACGGCGAAACCCTGGGCTGCCAAAGCAGAGTGCAGGAACTTAACCACTCGGCCATGGGGCCGGCCCCATATCTTCTTTATCCAATCATCAGTTAATGGGCACTCAGGTTGCTTCCACATCTTGGCTATTGTGAATAATGCTGCAATGAACATAGGGGTGCATGGGTCTCTTTGGATTGCTGACTTCAAGTTCTTTGGATAGATACCCAGTAGTGGGATAGCTGGGTCATGTGGTATTTCTATTTTTAATTTTTTGAGAAATCTCCATACTGTTTTCCATAGTGGCTGCACTAGTTTGCATTCCCACCAGCAGTGTGTGAGGGTTCCTTTTTCTCCACATCCTTTCCAACATTTGTTATTTTTTGTCTTGGTGATTGTAGCCAGTATAACGGGTATAAAGTGATATCTTAGTGTAGTTTTGATTTGCGTTTCCCTGATGATCAGCGATGATGAGCATCTTTTCATGTGCCTATTGGCCATCCGTATATCTTCTTTGGAGAAATGTCTGTTCATGTCCCCTGCCCCTTTTTTGATTGGGTTGTTTGATTTTTTGTTGTTGAGTTGTGTGAGTTCTTATATATTACGGAGATTAGCCCTTTGTCAGATATATGATTTGCAAATATTTTTTCCCAATTGGTGGGTTGTGTTTTCGTTTCAATCCTGTTTTCCCTTACCTTGTAGAAGTTCCTTAGTCTGATGAAGTCCCATTTGTTTATTCTTTCTATTGTCAAGCTGCTCTTTTGAAGGGCACTTGTAGCTTTGGCTTTGCCAAATCCACCACCACCCTCTTCTCAAGTCTGGCATCCTCCAGCTGTTCTCAACCTGGCTCAGAGCCCTCTGTTTTGAAGAATTCTCCCTCATAGGGATCCAATTTCAGTTTTTCTCCAAATAGATAACCACTGTTCCCTGTACCATTTATTGAGAAATCTGTCCTTTCCTCGCTGCCCTGCAATGCCAGCTCTGTCTTACAGTGTCCGTATATGTAGGGATCTGTTTCTGGGCTTGTCATTCTGTCCCTTCATTTATCCGTCTGCCAAGAGCACATTGATTTGATTGCTATAGATTTAGAAGAAGTCCTGCTGTTGGACTGGGAAAATTCCTTCCTCAGGAGTCTCTTCGCTATTCTTGCCTTTTGTTTTTCCATATGAATTTTAGAATCATCTTACCAGGTCCTATGAAAAACCATCTGAGATTTTAACTTCTAATTGCATTGAATCTATAGACCGATTTGGGGGAGAATTGACATCTTTACTATTTTGAGTCTTCTTATCCAAGAATGTGGCATATCTTTATGTCTTTTGGCCTTCTTCAATGTCTTTCAATAAAATTTTGTAATTTTCATCATAAAGAGCTTATACATCCTTTTGAGATTTAGTCCTAGATACTCTGTCATCTTGTTGCTATTGTAAGTGGTATCGCTTTCAAAATTACGTCTCCTTAGTAATAGCTGCTGATACAGGAACATGCAGTTGACCTTTTCAAGTTATTTTGTATCCAGAAAACTTGTTAAACTGTAATTAATTTTACTGATTTTTCTGTAGATTATTTTTGGTTTTCTAATTGACAATATAGCATCTGCAAATATGATAAATATGTTTCTTCTTTTCCAATTCTTCTAACTTCTGTTACATTTTCTTGTTTACTATGATGGCCAGGACTATAGAGTGTTGAATAGCAGTGTGAAAGTTAACTTTTGATATCAGATATTTTTGATGATGAAAGGATTATTTGGGTTTTCTATTTCCTCTTTAGCCTATTTTGATGAGTTGTATTTTCCAGGAGTGTATCCTTTGCATCTGTTTTCAGAATCATTAGTGTAACATTATCCTTAATATATTCTGATACCCCATCTGTAAAGATGTCTTCTCTTTTATTCATAGTGTTGCTTATTTGCACTGCCTCTTTTGTCTTTATTTTTTATTTTTTCGAAAAAGATTAGCCCTGAGCTAACATCTGCTGCCAATCCTCCTCTTTTTGCTGAGGAAGACTGGCCCTGAGCTAACATCCATGCCCATCTTCCTCTACTTTATGTGTGGGACGCCTGCCACAGCATGGCTTGCCAAGCTGTGTTTAGGTCCATGCCCGGGATCCGAACCGGCGAACCTGGGGCTGCCAAAGTGGAGTGTGCAAACTTAACCACTGCGCCACCGGGCCAGCCCCTTCTTTTGTCTTTATTAATCCTGTTTGAGGTTTGTCAATATTAATCTTTACAAAGAAGTGACTTTTGACTTTGTTGATCCTTTGTATAGTTTTTTTTCTATATCATTAATCTTTGCTTTTCTGTTCATTATCTCGTTCCTCTGCTTTCTTTGGATTTGTTTTTAGACTTTATTTTATGACCTTAAATTAGATGCTTATTTCATTAATTTGAGGTTTGTTTTTTTTTCCATGTAAGCACCTAAAACAGTAAATTTCCCTCCAAGTGTATCTTAACTCCAGAACATTTTCATTACCCCAAAAGAAACCCTGTATCCATTAGCAATCACTCCGTAGCCCCATGCCCTCAGCCACTGGCAACCACTAATCTAATTTTTGTCTCTATAGATTTGCCTGTTCTGGACATTTCATATAAAGGGAATCATAAAATATGTGGCCTTTGTGTCTGGCTTCTTTCCCTTAGCATAATGTTTTCAAAGTTCATCTGTGTTGTAGTGTATAAGTACTTCATTTCATTTTGATGGCTGAATAATATTCCATAGTATGGATATACCACATTTTGCGTATTCATTCATCAGTTGATGGGTTGTTTCCAGTTTGGGGCTATTCAGAGTAATACTGCTATGAACATTCGTGTCCATGTGTTTCTGTGAGTGTATGTTCTCTTGGGTCTGTAAGAAGGAGTAGAATTGTTAGGTTGTATGGTAACTCCATGTTTAACTTTTTGAGGAACTGCCAACTGTTTTCCAAAGTAGCAGCCCCCTTTTACATTCCCACTAGCAACATATGAGGGTTCCAATTCCTCCACATTCTTGTCAACACTTGTTATTGTCCATCTTTTTTGTTACAGCCATCCTAGTGGGTGTAAAGTGGTACGTCATTGAAGTTTTGATTTGCATTTCCCTAATGACTAATGATGTTGAGTATCTTTTCATGCATTATCCACCACGTGTATATCTTTTTTGGAGTGTTTCTTCAAATAGTTTGCTGGGTTTTAGATTGGGTTATTTGTCTTTTTATTGTTGAGTTGTAAGTGTTCTTTATATATTCTGGCTATGACCCATATGAGATAGATGATGTGCGTGTGTTTTCTCCCATTCTGTGGATGTTTGTGCTAACATCTGCACCAGTCTTCCTCTGTTTTGTATGTGGGTCACCCACCACCATAGCATGGCTCCCCATGAGTGGTGTAGGTTCACTTTCAGGAACTGAACCTGGGCTGCCGAAATGGAGCACGCTGAACTTAACCACTAGACCACAGGGCTGGCCCCTGTGGTTGTGTTTTTATTTTCTTGATAGTATCCTTTGAAGCACACAAGTTTTAAATTTTGACG